AGCATTCACAAGATTTTTTAATGCATTTGAAATATGAAGCAACTGTGAACATATCGATCGCTCCATCGAACGCAACTGAGTAAGACACATGTCTCGCTCATCGTCAGTTACAATACGACATTTGAAGTTTAAATTATTTGCTTTGAGAATAAAGTGTTCTACATCATCTATTTGTTTGCGTAGTGCCTGACATAAATATAAGAAGTATGGTTTTGCACTTTCCATGGTCAATGATTTGAAAGTAAAGGCCGGGGGACACTAACCAATAGTTTTAAGGAATTAATCAATACCAATAGCAAAGACATATGTATGTATGTACATAACATATCCACTTACCTCACTGTCGTAAAACTCGTTAGATATAGCACCCCAAACGGTGCATAATTGTAGAGCAATTGTGTTGAAGAAGGCGCCGGAGTGTGTTTTCTGTCGTTGAGTGAATAGCAGTTTATGCACTAAGCTCAATTTTTCAGAGTTTACAACGTTGCATTTGCAGAATTTCAGTAACCATTTATATGATTCAATTGTTATGCGCTCCGTAAATGAAAAATTATCATAAAGCACTTCAAGACTTTGAAGCAAAGCTTGTAATATTCGTTTGCGATCAGTATTATCATCATTCATACTACCCTTATAAGAATTTACTGCATCTGGAGAATCCTTCATTTCCATGAACTCGTCGATTATATTTTGTAAAATGTCAGGGGATTGTTTACAGTTATTTATGGAATGCAAATCTACAAAACAAAAATTAATTACGAAATTTAAGAAATGAATCATTAAACTCACCGAAACCTTTTAAGAATACTTCAACAAATTGTTTCTTATAAATTACGTCTGCGGATTGTAGGCACTGCTGAAAGCATTCAGCAGATAAAGCAGCCGTCTTTTCATCAAAGCTGGACCATATGTGTCCCAAACGACGAATACAACGTTCGTAGATAACTTTTGTTATATCTGTCAGATATTTCAAAATCCGTTTACTATGAACCAATTGTTTATATTTTGGTTCATCACGCAGAGCTGCTATCTTTTGCGCAGTAATTTCCAGCACGTACCGCACAAATTTTACATTTGAGCGAAGTACGTCTGTATTATGACTTGTAGCAAAGGGCACAACATCCCTATAAATAAAATATTTATATACAATATAATAGAGAACTGCGATTTATTGATCAGTGTTTTGCTTACTCATGTAGAAGTCGCAGAAACTTTTCAATAACACAAAAATCCCAAATATTTCCCAAACTTGTGGAATTAAAGTTTTTTACTACCACACCATTAATGGTTATATTCTTCATTGTATACCTATCAGCATTACCGATCTTATTATTTTTTTGTAATTGTTTCCTCGATGTGCTCGCATAATTCTTCATCATAATAATATAATGATAATGAAATAAAAATTAATAAATAAATAAGAGTCCTATATATTATTCAGGGAATGCTTACAATACATTATATTTATATATGATATCAGACAACTTACCTGGTACATCTCACTGATCTTGCAGTGTATTTTGAATAAAGGCAAAATATGCGCAATTGTGTCATTATTTAAGTTGGCAGTAAGTAAAGAATACGCCATTAAACCTTCTAAAAAATTTATTTGTATTTCTAGTAATACGCTCTTTTTGGGTTGCCAGTTGTCATCCTAAAAATGTATAGCAATTTCAATCTGAAAAACTGTTTACATGTATTTCAATTAATCATTTTCGTTAACCTTTTCTTCGAACTGCAACTCCTTGGTAATTACTTTCTCCACAGCTAAACGCAATAATCGTTTTATTTCTCTAGCATCATATTCGCTTTCGAATTCTTCAAGTTTAATTAAACAATGGCTAACAAACTGTACTAAAAGGCCCAGATTGTCTTGAATTTGTAATTCGTACGCATTATCTGGGGAGGTCCGCACAGCTTTATCAAATAACACGCTGAAATTCCCTTCAACGTCAGTGACTTTGGGAACCCGAAAAAACGAACGAAAATGCCAGTCAATAAATTGAAGTACATGCGGCACAAGTTTTGGATTTAATTCTACAGCACGCTGCAAGTCTAAAATAAATATAAAAAAATCATTAAAACATGGACAAGGCTCTATTCGTACATAATTTGGTTTCAAACATACTTTCATATAACACCTTCTTCATAACTATATTATTTGCAAAACAACTCCTCAGAAGTCCCATTATTTCCTGGGTTAACATATCAAAATAATAGTAAGGATATTGTCGACTGTCAGTAGCCACTTGAGACATCAAGGAGAATACGGAAATATTTTGGGTACAAAAACTAGACGGATTTGACTGCGATCGTTGAGAATTACTATTGTTCAATTGCTTAAGTACCATACAAAAACCATAAACCGCCATTGTTCGAATGTGTTTCATGCTGTAAAATACATTAAATAAACATCATTGGCATATATGTATGAATGTATAATATTCATTAGCAAAATAATTGAAAGAGCAATCTTCTGCTTAAAACCATCAAACCATATCTCTTATCTTCCGGACAGTCACATAAAAACATAATAATTTGCAATGTGTAATAACCCCTTAGTAAATAACTATTTCGCCGATTACTACCTTGAACTCATGGCTTTCCGGAGCACTTCAATGAACGCGTCTCGCACAGCGGCAGATATTTTTAGTATTGGTAGTATAAATGACATCATTCGCATTGATTGATCACCTGGTAACTTAAATAAGTGCACTTATATATTTTAATATTTAATGGTTTATTTTTTGTTAGCATACCCACAAAAAAAACTCCATTACGTATTTGATAGTCTTTATACACTCGGAAACTGTGAATGTATCTGCAACGCTCAACATAAGTAAGCACTCTACGTAGGAAAATATTATTCATTTTATGTACATTTATAGCAAATTAAGGTTGACCTTACCACCAAACTGAAACTGATCTTGTTCTACTGTCATCCATTCTGCCAACTTTTTCACAATTCCATGTCCAAAAACAAAACGTTTGCGTATAAATTTAGATAAAAATCTCATAGCCAACGAGTTTAATGGCACATTGTTCTTTGTTTTAAGCAAAGTAAAAGCTAAATTAACTAAACCTGGTGTAATGATATCTTGGCCATTCTTATTCTGATCAATAAGTACTGAGAGAATATAATCCAACTGTACTTGCTTTCGCTGCAATGTATCCCGAAACCATGCTGAATATTTTGCCATTTTTTGTTCGTGCTCATTATTGTGTATGACACTGCGCAAAAAATTCAAAAGACAAGATGTGGTAATACGTCGTGATTCGGGCTCCCGATTTGCAGAGCTCAAAGATATTATTGAACTTATCATAAAAGGAGTCAATATCAAGTCGGGCATTGAGCTAAAATTCTATAAACAATCATTGACAATTCGTTATGTTCTTATTTCTAAAAAATTGCATACAAAAAACTTACTCGTAAACCAGCAAACACTTTAGTTTCTCCTATTTTATATTGTGTGCAGTAATTCAGATGATGTAAAACCGTCTCTTCGGCCTCACGCATTTCTTTATCGGAAAATGTATCTAATAGTTATGCATTACATATATTGATTGATTCAAATTTATATTTTTTTTCTATCAACAAACCAATAGAGTCCAAGTCAGATGAATTGCTTTCCATATCAGCAAACAGTTTTTTGTAATAAAAACGATAAAAATATTTATCAAAAGCCAGCACTAATATCATTACTTCTGTACATGTCGAACACATAGAAAACAATTGAAAAGCTAAAGGCGGCAAATCAATAGGGGACAATGTAAGAACCAATCCACCAAATTTGTTAAGCACGGCATTTACTTCAGAACTTTTCAAATTCAGTTCCCTACAAAATCTAAATTATTTATACGTTTTTCAGAGTTTAATATTTTCTAATTACCTAAACATATCCGCAATCGAAGTTATGATCTCTATGGGCCAATTCATTTTTATCAGACTATTGACTGTATTTCCCCGGAATTCAATTCCTTTAATAAGTACGCCGTCAACAGCCAATTGTGGTTGATTCTCCAAAACTTTCAGAACATCCGGTAGTAAATCTTTCCAACTATAAAACACATTCATGTAGAATACCACTTCATAAAGAAAAGTATGTACATGACTTACCATACATATTTACGATCACCCATACGTATTCCGTCGATACAAAGATCGAGAATATAAATTAACTGGTTAGAAGGAAATGTTGATACATGCTGACATAGCCGTTTTATCAAATCGTAGGACTGCTTGTCCTTTAATTCAAAACGTTGCAGACTTTTTAGTAAATGTTTCACCAAAAAAAAACGTTTTTCTTTGATTTGACGACTACTGTATCCAAAGCTGAGACCTTCAAGGATGTAACTCCAAAACGATACAAAATCATTTCGTCCAAATTTCGAATTTAAAATTGCAACTAACTAAACATGGAATATTCTTACTAATTTAGTTATCAATGTTTTTTATATAAATCAATATAGAATTACCGTCACGGTGTCAGTATTCTCCATTAAGCTATGCAATTCCAGAAAATCTTTCTTCTCCCCGTACTCTCCGATCAACGACTCAACAGATCGTCCTTTCGAACTATGTTTCTTTGAATGCAACATATGAGACAACTCATTACTTTTATCGACTTTAAACATTTCTATAAATGTTCGAATTTATTCCACCATAAAACTAATTTAAGATTACTTAGAACGCGCGCCGCACATCCACCAACCCAATTCATAATTGAAACACTTATTCGCGCCTTTTCAAAAATTAATAGTTCACAATAAAAAAAATATTAAGAAAAACGCGCAAATAATATTAAAACCAAAAAACTAATGAACTTAATCATAATATCTCTCTTGATAAATTTCTTTAAACGTAATCATGGAAGAATCAAAAGTCCTATAAAAACATTATTAACTTACTTGTATATAAACATAATTTTTTACCTATCGACATATATTGTAAAAGTGGACAGCATTTTATAAATACTATTGTGACCTAAACAGTTTCATGATAAAATTTTGCTTGTCATCTGTAACCAAGTCCATTATTCACTACTTTGTCTACAGAAGAAAATAGTAATATTTGTGTTTGTTAAAATGGCTTTGGCGGAAATAGCTGGTATTGCAAACGCACCATTCTTAAAAGAAAAAAATAATAAAATCCGGTTCTCAAGTCAGACATATAACCTTGAGAACCCTTACTGCTTGTTGGCACCGCCATCTAATGGGGTGAGTTCTCTGGCTGCAATAGTAAATTAAGGAATTTAACGTGCTTTATCTTTCTAGTTGGTGGATATAAGATCTATGCAGACCGCTGGATCACAAAGCGGTATTAAAATTGATTACGACCACGGCACAACAACTTTGGGATTCAGGTACAAAGGTGGCGTTATATTGGCGGTTGATTCTCGTGCGACTGGTGGTCAGTTTATTGGTTCTCAAGAAATGAAGAAAATTGTGGAAATCAACAAATATTTGTTGGGTACATTAGCTGGTGGTGCTGCTGATTGTGTATATTGGGATCGTGTTCTTGCAAAGGAATGTCGTCTACATGAACTACGGAACAAAAAGCATATTTCTGTGGCAGCGGCAAGTAAAATCATGGCGAATATTGCTCATGAGTATAAGGGTATGGGTTTGAGCATGGGTATGATGCTAGCTGGTTATGATGATAAAGGTGCTGGTCTATACTATGTTGATTCGGAAGGATCTCGATCGCCAGGAAATATATTTTCCGTGGGAAGTGGTTCAATTTATGCGTATGGTGTACTTGACTCTGGGTACAAATATGACTTGGAGGATCAAGAAGCCTACGAATTAGGTCAACGTGCTATATATCACGCAACATTCAGAGATGCTTATTCCGGTGGTATTATTCGAGTATACCACTTAAAAAAAGATGGTTGGATAAAAATATCGGAGCGCGATTGCAAAGATCTTCACTATAGATACCAAGAAGAAGAAAATTAATATTTTATTAATCAATCCATAAATAAAGTTTGACTAATAAATATGGTTGAAAGCTTTAATAAATTTGATTGTACAATTATAGTTGAGCCTGTCCAAAATCACCTCACAGCCACCTACGGGTAATTACCCAACTATTTGATAATTCTAACCGAAACTCTTGTGCACATGTGATCGTTCACAGCCCTTTACTCAAAAGCATTATGAGTTGCGCATTGTGTAAGTTTCCGCGCTAGTTCCTTCAATGCTTTGGATTTGGGAAATTACCGTTATCCATGATCTTAACCATGAAATTGTCAATAGAACCATCACAAATTGAGTATTAGTTCATGACACCAACATTATTTACAGGTCCGTTGTTTAATCTTGGAATATAATTTTAACTAAATTATGATAAGATACAAGAAACCACCCAAGTAATACTTTCTTATCCATAGTACATTTTGTTTTTGTTTTTGTAAATTTTAAGAATTATTTGACTAAAAAGATTTCCACATTTAAATGTTTAGTATGGCATCACTTTTTTTTTTAACATGCAACCCTTTTGTTATTGTGTAAATAAATCGGAATAAATAAAAATTTGAATGTTGCATTGAAGTTATATCTACACAATTTAACATAAAATAAGAATAATTCAGTAAAGTTATTTTTGAATAACTGTTAATGGTATAATTGTAAAATAAAATTTAAAGAGAATTACAATGATTACAATTTACGAGTTTTATTGTGAAACTTAAAAGCCAGGAGAAGTATATAATATTACTCAGGAGGGCCATTATAGACCATACATCTACATAATCGCTCATCCTGGATTTCCATTTTAAATCGCAAGCAAAACATTAAAATAATGTCCAAAGTCGACTTGGAGTCATCCAAAAACTATTCACAGCTTTTAAGCAATCATCACAGCGTAAGAAGTCACTGCCCAGGAGGTAGTTCTAACAATGTGATTGAAGGTGATGCCAGAAATAGTATAAATGTAATGATTTTTACGTGGTTTCGGTTCCATCGGGTCTATAAACTACTATTGCTAATATTGTTCGTATTGGTACTATGGCCACTGTTCGCGCATTACAGTTTACTAAATGTATGTTTATTAATACCATTATTGCATTTTACCAAATAAAAAGCATATACATTATAATTTTTAGCATCCTATCAACGATGTTCCGTCTGCTGATGTCCATCGCAGCCGACCTCTTTTGGATGCATATGAGGACTTTAGTTCGATGCGTGCTAGCGATTTAAAAATGCGTATAGAAGAAATGCTGCATATAAAAGTAAGAAAACGTTTTATATCTAACATAAATTTGTAAAATGAATTAAGTTCTTTACCATAATATATGTTTTTAAAAGAGTACAGTTTCAGTAGAATTACGGGAACTTGAATCTCGTCGACAAAAGCTTCAATCAGACATAGGAAAATACAACCAAAAAATTGAAGAATTAAAGCAAGATTTATTGCGTGAACAAACCGAGTTAGAAAGGTTAAAAATATCTGTTGAACAAGCGCAAGTAGCTCAGCGAGAAGCAATTCAGCGCAACACTCCCGATTTGGCTCTACCACGAACGTTATACCCCAATATATTGCCACGAAAATTACCAGCTATAACATCAGGCGCAGGATTGTTCTGCGAAATGTACAACTGTTTCGACTACTCCCGTTGTAGTTTAACATCTGGATTTCCTGTATATTTGTATGATCCTGACTTAAATAATATATTGAGGACTGGTTACGACATAGACGGTTTTCTGAAAACAACAATTAAACAAACACTTGGCTATAATGCTCATATTGTGCATGATCCTAAAATAGCTTGCATATTTCTAGTGCTCGTAGGTGAGGCTATGCTGGAAAATGATTTAATGAAGAACGATCGATATGCAGCCTTAGAAGAAGAACGCAAAAACTATTCAAAGTCACCTTTAATGGAGATTCCCATCGATATTGAGAAACTTTTCAAGTTGCCATATTGGGGAGGTGATGGTCGCAATCACGTTTTGTTAAATCTGGCTCGACGCGATTTACATTCACCACGAACGAACGCTTTTCTTAATCAAAATACTATGCGGGCCATAGTAGTGCAATCATCATTTGAACGACTACAATTCCGCCCTAATTATGATCTAATAGTACCACCGATTCTTGGACCACCAGGGGGTGATGTTTGGCAGGAATGTGCCCCGATGATTCCAGCACGACGTACTTATCTTTTAACTTTTCAAGGAGAAATGCGTCCAATTGATAAAAAAGTGCAATTACATCCATTAGATGATTTTATTTTAGATCATCTTACTGACATGTCCAAAGGTTCCACTCAAGACAAATTCTTATTGCAATTTCATTGTGTACCAGCCACTGAACAATCAGACGAACTGGCTTTTACGGATTGGGCACTTTGTGGTACTGACTCATCCCGCAAAGCAGTATTAAAAGAATCAACTTTCGTATTAATCCTTCCGCCATTGGAAAAAAGAATTAGCTCAACTTTGATGTTAGCTCGACTTTATGAAGCTCTTAGATCTGGTGCCATTCCTGTAATACTTGGTGCTGACGAAGTCCGCTTACCTTATGCTGAAACCATCGATTGGCGACGTTTAACCATTTTGCTCCCAAAAGCTCGTATTACCGAGCTGCACTTTTTGTTACGTGCTATGCAAGATGTTGACCTAGTTCAAATGCGTCGCCAAGGCAGGCAGATTTGGGAGAGATACTTAAGCTCGGTGCAAGCAACCGTCGATACAATAATAGCTAGCCTACGAGATCGTCTAGGTATACCACCACGTCCGGTCCTTCCTATTGTCGCGCAGAGTGTATTCAACAGTACATTTATTCCACTCAAATCTGATCCCCCCGTAGGATTAGATACGGAGCCGGAGGAATCATTAGGACCTATAGAACCACCATATCCGAGTCCTGCATTCCGACGTAATTACACAATTTTGCGTATGCAATCTGGTGAGGCATGGAACCTATGGGTAAGAGAATAAGAATAAGGTCTTTTTTCTAAATGTTTCATTTTATTTTTAATTATAGGTTGACCCTTTTTACATGTATCCACAATTGCCTTTTGATCCAGTTTTGCCCGCTGAAGCTAAATTCCTTGGGTCCCACATGGGTTTCCGACCCATTGGAAAAGGCAGCGGTGGTGCAGGCAAGGAGTTCAGTGAAGCCCTTGGAGGCAACAATCCACGTGAACAATTTACTATTGTTATACTTACATATGAACGCGAACAAGTTCTTATGGACTCTCTTGGTCGGCTTTACGGTCTGCCTTATTTGCACAAGGTGGTGGTGGTGTGGAATTCCCCAAAACCTCCGCTTGATGACTTGCGTTGGCCCGATATTGGAGTACCAGTTGCGGTGGTACGTGCACCAAGAAACTCCTTGAACAACCGTTTTCTACCTTTCGATGTTATTGAAACAGAGGCGATTCTCTCTGTTGATGATGATGCTCATTTACGTCATGATGAAATATTATTTGGTTTTAGAGTTTGGCGAGAGCATCGCGATCGGGTTGTAGGATTTCCAGGTCGATTTCTTGCATGGGATTTGAACTCAAATCGGAATTGGAACTATAATTCCAACTACAGTTGCGAACTAAGCATGGTGTTAACGGGCGCCGCTTTTATACATAAATATTATATGTATCTATACACCTACCATTTGCCTCAAGCTATACGCGATAAAGTCGATGAATACATGAATTGTGAAGATATAGCTATGAATTTCTTAGTTTCGCACATAACCCGCAAACCGCCTGTAAAAGTAACATCAAGGTGGACGTTTCGATGCCCAGGCTGTCCAGTATCGCTCAGCGAGGACGATACACACTTTCAAGAACGACACAAATGTATAAACTTTTTTGCACAGGTGCGTAATAAAAAACATCTTTAAAATAAGCAAATGTAAATGTCATTTTAACAACCATTAAATTTAATAATTTTTTCCTAGGTTTTTGGCTATACACCATTATTAAATACTCAATACCGCGCTGATTCAATACTCTTTAAAACACGAATACCGCACGACAAACAAAAGTGCTTTAAATATATCTAAAACACATGAATTTCTTGACAAGGTTTGATATGCACAAACTATATTACGAAATATACTCTACACGCAGATATATGGTTGAACGGTTATTGATTTTACAATATTTTTATAATACGACTAATTAAAATACATGTAACATCTAACGCGATTAAAATAAACAAACAATATTTTTGTTGTGCAACGTTGTGAATTACTTAACTAATTCCCCTTCTCCAAATTATTTTAGAAGTTGTTTTTGATTGAGAATATGAAAACCAGTTAGTCAAGTTATTTAAGCAATTTTATATAGTTTTGATTTCTAAAAATGTGCAATTATTATAAATTTCCACTTTGTTTTAAAAAATCCGTATATATACATATGTGTATATATAATTCAACCAATAATGTATCACTAAATTAAAAAAAAATATTATTTCAGTTTAGAAAAGTTGAAGTACAGTAAATTGACATATTTATTTTCTCTCATTATTGGTTATCCTATAATTTTTATTGTAATACAATGTATGTACATACTATATGTTTTCAATAGCAATTTAGCATTTTTTTGCTTATAATTTGTAAATCGTTATCCCTTACGTTATATATACACTTGAGATTGTAAGTCTAGATCAAAGTATTGCGTTTAATAGCAATTTCGCATTAATTTATATTGCATATTTTATTTATTAACAAAATCATTAACATCTAATTTTCTTATTAGGTTATGTTATGTATACAGTGGATTTAATGTAGTATTTTCATCATGTATATCTCTACTGCTTTATTCATTAAGTTTTATACCTAAAATACTTTCAGTTCAATTGATAAACATTTTAGAATTCACAAAGCACTCTTATACGCTTATAATAAAGTTTTATTAAAAGGAGGTGATGGCAACCTCCGGATTGCTTGACTATTCAGTTCCCACGAAAAGCCGGGACAAACATACATGTTTTGGGATTGTAAGAGGCCTATGTTTAAATAAATGGCGAAGTATTTATTTTAAATTAAGGCGAATCAACGAATATGGATGTTATTTATACATTAATTTTGTTCCAAATTTTAATATGTTTTATCAATTTTTTTTATAATAATTTACAAACACTTGTATTCAACAAAAACTTTTGTTATCACCTCTCCGCCCCCGATTAGGTAGCTGTTTATAATCGCTGGAAATACACTGAAATCAAATTTTGTAGTCTTACATAATGCCTTGCTTTTAAAATAGTTTTTTTTTCACTACCGAGAATTCAGTTTATTAAATTTGTTAGTTTTTCCTTCCACAAGTGAATGCACGAAAAAAAAAAACAGAAAATTAGTTCTCTTGCAGACTCAACTTCAAGGCCTGCTCAAGCATTTCTTGTTCTCGCTGCAAAGCCAATTCATATTCTTCCTGATCATGACGGCTAAGGCGCAAAGCCATTGCTAAATCAGGATCCACGTATCGAAAACCGCCATCATCATCGTCTATCACTGGGGAGTCAGTGGTATGTACTGCACCGCATAATGACTCCTGTAGAACTCTATTTTTATAAGGAAAAGCGAATGGGATATACGAAGCAAATAGCATTTACTAATAACATATATTACGTATGGATTCAATGAGAATAAGTGTAAACTTTTTTTAGTTCGTATTTAAATTAGCTAAACGCTTTTATAAACAGTAATTGATAAAATGTATGTATATGAATGCATTAATTGATTTTACATCGTGATTCCACTTCACTAAAATGTTTAAAAGTGTTGATAATGACATTTAAATGATAAGAAAAATGAATAAGCTAACTATTTAAATATTTTTTTCATGTAAGCAATATCTGTTTTAAATTGATTTGTCGGTGTTGCAGTGGTACGCCCACGATGAGGTGTAGCTGTTGGCGATATAGAATCACGCAATGTTTCAGTACTTAATAGTGTGTTTGTATGAATTTGTAAGTAATTTCTATTTGTCTTTGTGAATTCTGGAACGTTAGATGTGAAACGATTTGGCGATACACGAATATTATGACATGATTTAGGGGGAATATGTAATCTACGTTTTGCCAAAAAATTAGCAAGAGCAATGCGAAATTAGCAACATAATTTAAAAGAAATATAAATGAGAAAAAAATAAACAATATCTTGATTCAACTGTATATTATACCTCTGTAACTGTTCGTCTTCATCTGGAACTCCATCGGTTCCTTGCCCACGTAATGCTTCCCATATATCCACTTTATCCGTATCCTCTGTAATATTTTGTATAGAAGCAGCTCTGTTCGTGGTTTGTACCATGCTTTGTTCAATGGCGTATTGTAACATATCATCTTCCTCCAAAGGTAATTGTCGTCGTAAGTCCACATCTGAAAAGTGGGAGTATTACACAATTTCCTTCATATATTTAACAATTATACCTCTATTGGAATAATGGGTTGGTATATCAAAGCAGCGGTCATCCACAATGCAGGTTATGCGATCGTCTTCGTTAATAGTCGTTACATTTTCTACAGCGCTTGTCATACCAAATACATTGCCAAATGTAATACATGCATTTAAGACATGGAATAGAGGTATTTCAACTTTTACAGGGAAACCCGATGGCAGCTGCATGGTAATAAAGTCTTTCAATTTGGAGACATGTGGACTCGCCATTGTTGACATCAAATCCAATATAGGAAGAACTTGTTCTTGCAATCGCATAGGATACTCTTCGGAAAGCCATAAATTAGCCTTAAATCTCTGAACCTATAAAATAGATACAAATTTATTTTATGAAAGTAGTGGGTGCACTAACTGCTATTGCAGTTTAATAGCCCTATCGATTGCTCAAAATTCTTTTATTTTGCACTAAATGTTAAGTTTATTCGAATATAAACTATATATTTAATTTAAGATAAAAAATCTGTTTGATGTATACCTTAGTTGTGACTTTCTTGGGACGCCCAATGTCGCATCCATTTAAATCAACATCGACAGAAAAGTACGCCTCTGGAGTAATAACGAACTTAGGTGAAGTAGTACCTGAACTACAACTAGCATTCTCTTCTCCTGTACTATTTTCAAGACATTCCTCACGACCCAATGTTTCAAAGGAGGGAGAGGGTGTCTGAAGTGAATTAAAAACTTTAAAAAGTCCATTTAAACGAATATGTTTTCGTTATCATGATCTTAGGAATACTTAAAATTGAAAAAATACTAAATAAGTTATTCTTTCCCAATGAAAAGTTAATTCAGATTAAAATCTCTACATAAGTAAAGGAATCGCTAAAAAAGTTATGTTAGATATATACGTATAATTGGAAGTCGCTTGTAAACAAATTTCGGTATGAAATATTACCCGATCTTTGGAATTTATTCCTTCATTAGAGCGTGTACTGGAAACTTCATCATCAGAAATACCTAAAAAGCTATGCAATGGCGTGCGCGCACATTTATTCTGTTAAAAATTTTTAATTGTTTTAATTACTCATTACATTCTTTTAGTATTCAATGAAAATAAATAGAGGTACCTTTATTTGCTCTTCATTCAAATGATCCATTCGGGTGCGTGTTATAAACTCAACATTGCTCGCACCATACACTTTGCAATTATATCCGTTTATCATCTCGGACTTTTCACTACGCCAGCCCCAAATCCCTGATTTATTGCGTTCAAAGCTTATCTTATCCATTTCAATGTTGTTCGTAATAACAGGCGCATTAAGCCTAGCACGGACAGCTCCAATTGGGGGTGGAATTGCCACAATATCTCCTATATCACTATTCATTTGTTCCTCCATGACTTCATGAGTGTCATGATCGATTTCAATCATTACGGCAGAGTCTTCTACATGTAAAAAAAAAAGAATACAAGTGTTTAATTTTAATAATTTTTAAATTCATATAATATATATCATATAACAATTTCTTTCCTTTATTGTGTCTGTCACTCACACCAGCAGCATTCAAAAATTTATTGCGTGAACTGTACCATTATATTAAGAATTGTTTTTATACCTTTCAACCTTAATGTACCCTCTGTATTTTATTTAACTTTTTTGATGCAATAAATAATTTTAACTTACTTGCTCCTTTGAAAATATAGGAGCGATTCCCTCGTTGCCAAGTATTGTTATCAAAGCCAAGCAGTGTGGTATCGATTCGGACATTCGCGCCACGTTTATAAACTTTGTATGTGTCACTAGGACAAAGACGAGACATTAGGGGTACTGCAATGTTTGATTCAGTAGTAAACGGAAGTTTAATATGAGCTTTATATACAAATAAATTAATTACAGCTTACCCCAAGATGTAAATTCCCATTTCATTTCAATGTAGAAATCAGGAGCGTCTAATAAGTGCTGCAGCAGTTTCGGTACGTGCGTTACCCGTTGAACATGACGTTGCAAATCGCGGACTTCTATGATAGCCGTCAATATAGCTTCATCTCCTGAACAAACGGCTTCTTGGACAACTAGCAAAGAACATTTTATCATGTATCATTTCATCATAAGAATTTAAACTCTTACCTGACCATCCCTCATGTTCAAAGCTGGCGTTACATTTTGCTGCTAAAAGGCACTTCACACATTGTAAATGGGATAATTTTACCGCTAACATTAAAGGTGTTCTCCCACGATTATCGACTTTTTCTTTGTCGATCTTTTAAAGAAAAGTAGAACATTATTTGAGTACTTGTTACAGAACGAAACTACAAACATATTTATTATTTAAATCCAAATATTTATTAAAGCTAAAGAATGTTAGACCCGCCTGGGACCTTCAGAGTTGAAAAACTGATAATATCTGATCCCGAAACTTCCCTTGAAAAAATTTTAAAGTGTTTTATACTTTATTAAGTTATTTATTATGTGTTTCAGCAATGCATTCTTTGAGGCCTCTATCAATATACGTTGTTATGCTCGACGCAACAGATCCACTTCCATTAAGAAATGTAAATGTAAATTTGAATATTTCCTCTAATTAAATTAGCATATTGATGTAATTTGACATATCACCAGATAGCAGAGCACCCCTTCTAAGGTGATTTGAAACAATAAAAATTGGGCTATTCAAAACCATACATGTTGAAAATAAAAATTCTTAGTGAATATATAATCCCACTAGTTCTTTGTTTATATTGACATAGGCACCATCACTAATCTTTATTTCGAATCATCTTAATTATCGTCATTCACTTCCTCACCGTTTCCGTTTTCAACACCCGTTTTAACTCATCTACGTTGTTGATCCACACCAGCCAGTGCAGGGGAAATTCATTTTCAATATCCTCCAATGTTTTCATGACCAGAAACAAAATTAGTTCCCCTTCTGGACTATATGTTTCCAATATGGACTCTTATATTTATAATTCCTCTGGTAAATCAGAAAAAGTTAATTTCCTTTCTACTCTATATTTGTCAATTGATAATGCATTCTTCGCTGTACTGACCTCCTCTACCGTGGTACTGACCGTCTGTCAATAAGTAAACTTGTAAATTCTGCGAAAGAGACAACTATAAACGTAAAGTCGACCTATACATTCACAATATACCTTTCCGAAAGACCACAAGGCGTATTGCCACACTCAAAAAGATACATCTATAAAGCTAATTTATATGCTTGACATGTGTGCAAGTTCGTTTTCACCATCTGTCACATATGTCTACCACCAACGAAATACGGACGGTAAACACATGAGTATATTATACGTATATGTACATCAGGAAAGTTAATGGACGTTAATTTCTAAAGAGTTTAGTTTCTATAAGTTTCATAAGGCTGAGTTGACAAAACTATTCTAAGCTATTTTATACGTGTGATCGTTCATCCTTTTCTTATTAGCCATTATTCACAGTTCTCTTCTTTTGGGCACAGAGTACATGCATACATGCATATGTATAATGCAATGGAATATACCTTGGATAATTACTAATGAAGTACAATCATATGTACAATAAACGTTGTACTTACCTCATAATGTGAAAATCAGCTGATTTGCTTTGTTTTCATGATTAAAAAAAATATAATTTTAAACAGTAAAACAACCTTTTAAATAATGGAAAACTATATACCCATTAGGACAAATGTAAAATTCCTTTCTTTGTCACTAACATTTAATTAGTTTCCATAAAAATTCCTTCAATATATTGGAAGACGTAATAACGAAAGCTCAAACTTCACGCTGATAAATAAATTAATATACATATGTATGTGACCTGGTCTACGAAAAGGGAGCTAACGTGCGAAAACTAGTTTTCTGTAAGCTGTAGCTGTAAAAAAAAAGCATCTAATCTTCCATCCGAATCAACTAAAAAGTGAAAATTGATTTTTTGACACCTAAGCCTCCTTTCCGTAGACCAGGTCACATATGAAGAATTGCTCAACTGCATTGCTTTGATTTGCCGACATTCATATACATATGTACGTGCATAGGCTTATGCTCCTTATATATGTAGAATCAGCTTGAAGCACAATGAAGCTTCAAAATTAATATGATTGTAGATAATCATATGAATCTAATATATTATATTATTATAAATTGTGACGCGATATCGACTTTGGATTACAGCAGCGCCTGGTAGAGTGGCCCAGCTTCGTTCTGGATACTGTGGCAGGTTAAACTCCTACTTATCCAGAATAGACCCAAACATATCCAATATATGTCCTGCATGCAATGATGATATTCCATATCAACAACTAATGAGGTAGGTACTATGTAAGTGCAAATCTCATAACTAAGTTCAAGAATACTGATCTTCAACACATAGGATATGAGAAATGCGACAAGACACAATATGCGATATGAAAGGATATGCACGTTCAATGTTAATAATAATTAATTTTAATTATTAATAATTAATTTTAATTATTTAATTTTAATTATTAATTATTATTTTAATTATTATCGCAGAACTTTCCACAATTCAAAAAAAAAAACAAGTTCAGTGCATTTGCATGAAGGTACCAAACCTATTGAGTGCGTAATGCTAATTACTTTTCACGGAACATCAATTAAGCAGATAAAACCCATCCTATATTCTATTGCATAGTAATACTAAGAAAACCAAAAGCAGAGCAAGTTATATGTTAAATAGTCCTGTTATTTGCTTCTTTTCCAATATTCCTTATATGCATGCCTTTTTTAATATAATCATTAAATCCAATTCTAATTATAGGATCTAGAACAACTTTAAATATTGCATCACAAAATTACAAAACACCTTTAAAGCTTCGAGGATTTTAAATTAGGGTGGAGGAAAGGAAAGCATGTTCGTATGATGTATGAGTATGCATCCAATAAAGGATCTTTCTCTATTTCAGGAGTAGCATATCTAACATTAAGAGAAACTAGGATCGAAACACATAATATCAAAATAAATTGGTTCTTTATTTTAGCCATCTAATGAAAGTGTTACAAATAATTCTTCAAGAACTTAATCGCAATAAAATTACATTAACAAGGTTAAGATTGTCTGTACTATGCGTAGACGCAGCAAACATATATATACATAATTACATAATATTTAAATATTGTTTTCTGAGCATTGATGTTATTCAAAGGTAATAATAAAATCGTTTACTTAAAAGGATAAATAAGTGGTTTATATTTTTATCCAAGATTTTTTTTTTATTATTTGTATTATCCTAATAATAATTATTTTTGTTTCAATTGTTTTGTAGTTTTGAATTGATGGTTTACTTTTGACCTTTATTTTCTATTGATACCAGTTTAATGTTTTTGTTGTGCAGTTTAACTGATATTTATTTCTGTACTTAACAACATTTGCGATTGTTATTAGCTCCACTTATGACTTGGAAGTGTTGCATGTCAGTGCGACGCTGACGATTGTTCCTACCTTGGATCTCACGCACCTGATTTGCACGCAGAATGGCATTACGTCGAAGGTTTTGACGCTCGTAAATTGCTAGACTCTAAAGAATAAATAAATATAATAAGAACGCATTAAAATATTTTATATTTTATTAATATATAATAGAAATTGAATTTGTTGACTACCCTATGGGTTTGTATGGAATTTAAGTAAATCGTATCATGTTCAATTGAACATTCAGTTTGAACTAAATTTTTTAGTAATTGGATCCTCAATTTCCTTTGAAGGGTTTTCGTAGATAAAAGTGCAGCACACAACATAATCTTTATCATTTAAATTAACACCTTTATATGTTCTGTCATTATTTTGAAAGGTCAATTTTAATTCCAACTGTACAGTTCATATAGCAGCTACATATGTATATGCTTAGTTGCCCGATATCGGCGATCGGATAATGAATGGATTTGTGCGCCTATATACAGACAGATATGGCTGGTAAACAAAAATCCACTTGTTTTTTGTGACATGACAGAACAAAGTGTTTATTAAGAATTGCCAAAAATGCAGAAAATATCTACAGATTTCTTCTATCACCTATTGTTTTTTTGCTATGAGGAATTTTGTTAAAAAAACAGTGATAAATATATTATTGTTATATTATTTTATTAACCAACGAGTACCTTAAAATGTTACTGTCGACGTTTTTCGGCGATATTTTGTTTTTGGAGTATCCCCTAACAATATCCAGCAATAATCGACAAGTAAACTGGCACTCCACTTGCCTTGATATCGTTTCTCCAACAAAATATTCAAGCAAAAACAAAAGAGAAGGAGAATAACTCTCATTCACAACATTGCCTATGCATGCAAACGCAATGAGTGGGCGCCGTTACTTCTGTAGTACACGGAATCAATTGAAGAATTAACAAATATTGTCAAAAATATTTTTTACTGTGTATAAAAAGTACATAAAATATATAAAAGTTGGTGTGAAAGTAGTGGAAAATATTAAAGTTACATATTTTTATAGCATTTAAAGGGGTCGAAAGGCAAAAACTCAATTGAATGAAAGAATGCTGCTGATGCATACAAATTTGTGTCAAAAATATGTGTAGTATATACATTTTAACAAAATTAAAAGTATGTAGTGAAAAAATGTTGTATGCAGTGAAAAAGTTGTGGTGTGTGTAAATGAATATTATTATTAGTATTAATGTAAATTAATACATGGAAAGGATCACCGAGTAAAATTGTACAGGTAAGTTAAGGGAAATTATAATTTTAAAGTTTTTTTTTTCAAAAAAAAAAATGTTGCATATAAGAAAAAAAATGTTGAAATAAGTCAATTTAATGCATTAAATGTTTTAGTATCCCTTAACAATGTTCAGCAAAAATCGGCAAGCAAACTAGCACTCCACTCGAAGCATACACCTTTAGAGCCTCACAAAACGACGCGTATTTCAAATACTAATGAATATTTTGACTTGAAATTTAGCATAGATGTCACTAACAGTACTACCAACTTGCAGAAAAAAATAATTTTCCGATTCGAAAAACACGCGAAGTATTAATTAAAAATTCAGGTTACAGAATATCTCCTGGTGATAGAAAAATTCTGTTTTCAGATTTGTCTTCGGGGTATCAAACTGCATTAAAAACACCTAAGATTTTTCCTTTTGAATGTTACACACGTTGTAGTAAACTTAATATACCATATCGGGGTACAAAAATAATATATAATAATAATTACACACCTTTTGGCTATTCAACGCAAATAGCTCCATTTTTAGATTAGCGGCATTACAGCGGTCAACACGCGGAGTTTTGGCACTTTTTCTGATATTTGGTTCAGTTTTCTAGGTCAAAAGAATTAATTAATATTTCGTTTTTTCGTTTTAATATCATTTTAATACATCCTATTTCGAACTCACTTGTTCTAATATAGCTGCTGATGGCTTGGCAAAAACGATTTCAGGTGACTTTTGAGTATAGAAGTTCTCTTTTTCCTCCTGAATCTGGCTAGATTCACTTACTTCGAGATCGAATTTTGCGAAGCTTTCAGGCGTTTGTTGAGTACTTTTAATACTGTGGTATATTGACATACTGCATGGAGATAAAATGATATTTACCCATTAGAGATAGACGTTTTTAGGTTGAACTTAGAAATAACACTTATATTAAATATTTACCTCGGATGCTCAATAAGTAAATTTTCAAAAGGTGACATTTCCATGTAAATAGGACCAGTTGAGACAAAGCATGGCGGAGGTGTCATATACCACGAATCCACCATTGTAAATAGTTTAGCACCAGAACCGTTACTGTCAATACTGACACTACTAAGATTGGGTTCTAAGTCTTTGCTATGGTTAGCAACGTGCAGCAGCTGAGTGTCATTATTATCAGTTAACAATCTTGTTTTTTTGGCAACAGTGACGACGGACTTGCTAGGTCTATAACCTAAATTACTTAATGGTGATATCTGTACTGCAGTAGGTCCACTACTAGATTGAGAAAAACCTGATGTAAGGTCAGATTTGTGCTTTTCACAATTGTTTTGCAGCGTCTGAGAAGAGTTGTTACTAATATTATGCTGCTGCACTGTTGTAATATTTAAAATCTCTGAAATTGGTTTTGATGTTCTATTGTTATGTTCAGCTAAAATCAAATTTTCTTTTGAGCTCTTGCGAAAAAAGCTATTCGGGATATCAACGTCTTGAAAAAAGTAAATAATAATTTAGTATCAAATATTTGCAATGTATGAACCACTCTATTTAACAGATATCTATAAATACCTACCGTCCTTTTGAACGAGAAGCCAATCATCATCTAAGTCAAAATCGACATCAGATAATTCAGAGGTTACAACATCTAAAATTGGTGCTGGTTCTATAGTAACTGCCTTTATTTTACTTGGAACACACTTCTTTCCTTTATTCTGTCGATTATTGCGCTTATTATTATTACGTATTCCTTGTTGATATTCGCCGTTAGTTTCAATATTTTTAGAATCCTCTTCCAAGTTTTCTTTCCGTTGTCTGTCGTTAGTAAGATAACAATTTTGGGACTTATGTAATTCACAATCTTCAATGGTTTTACAATTCGTGCCTTCTGTGGTACTTGATCCAAAGATAAACGCTGCAATACTGCTAAACATTATACAGCAATATACTTATCAATGAAGACACCAAAAGCTTAATGCCAAACGATTCGAATAACAAGTTCCTGTCACAGCAATTTTAACAGAATATCTGCTTTAATTGAAAGATTTAAGTTTTTATTGACAATTTGAGATCCTTTCCCTAAATCTGAAAATATTGCTTTTGTCCTTTTCAGTCTTGTTGATTTGCGCGATTGACGTTTTCTAAATACTATTTCTTAGCTTTTACCCTGAAATGAGAAAAAAAGACTACTTTATATAACATATTTTAAAATTCGACATTTGTTTACGTCTTTAACATGGAAGTTTTTCGCTGGATGTATTAAGAGCTTCAGTATCTATCTAAATACGAAATTTCTAATTTAAAAGATACAACAAAGCGAAAATACTAATAATGATGAGACATAAAGATACTTAATAACATAAAAAAAATAAATACCAATACAAAATTTGCAAATGTAGTCAATGTCTTAAATCAACTAGGACACAGTGAACAATATATACTTCACGTTAACAAATCATAATGTTGTGCAAGCTGACCTTGAAATAACTCAGAAATTCGTTAATTTAAAATAAATATATAAACTGTATTGTGATACTACATACATATGAGTTATATATAAAATAATCAGTATTGAGACAAATATGTATGCATGCATTATTTGTATAAGTATATAAATTTATATCTGAATCGATTTGCATACAAATTCATATACATACATATAGTATGTATGCACTTACGAGCAGTATTTATGTATGTATCAATATTTAGATTTTTTTGAAAATTGTTCATTGAAACGAATGAAATCTGACTTTTTTTATCTTTTCAAAAGTATCCTTTAGAGATCATATTTAAAAAATATTAGACCGATAGACCGACAGGCTTTTATTATTCGCAAATTATGAAGTGTAAAAATCAATTTATTACTAAAAGTAGCACTTAGTATAAAAAATTCAGCTCAGCAGTGATAAAATCTAAAGGGCTACATTAGTTCTGAATAATTAAACAGTGAATTCCAAAATTTTTGAGATAATCAAAGAACCTGCAATCAACTCTGACTAAACTGCTTTAATTCAACCAATGTCAAACTCGTCTTGAATAAATTTATAAACGATACATTAGGTAATAGCAAAATTTTTAAGAACCTAACCTAAAATTATATATAAAATGAAGACAAAGAAAACGTTTAAACAAATAATTATTAATAATCTCATATACCTACATACAAATCTATAGATGCACGAATTTTTTCCACATTATATACATACATAAATTTTATTCGGTCTAAATAAATTTGTATATTAATATATACTCATATGTGTGGGTTTATTTGTATGTAAATAAATTCATTTAAGAGTTTGAACCTATTTACCAATAATTGCTTCAAACAATGTTATTAAACACTTTTTATTTACGTATTTCAAATTCAATTTCACTGTGTTTCTCTGCCTTTTTAATAATCGGTCAGCCACTTACTAATTCGACACACAACTGTTTACTAAATTTAACGGTCAGAGCAAGGAGTCATTTTGGTTCAAGTCGAAAATATAATAGAATCCTATCTCACAAATCAAAAACAACTACCACCAAATAAGGTACACACAAAAATCCCTGCATAGAAAGGTGTATGTATCTAAGCAGAACATTCACAAATGTTTGGATACATATTTAACAAATGTGTGTAGTTAAGAGCACAGGAAACGATAACATGGATGGTAAATAAAGAGAACTGTCGAAGTGTTACATCAACGGGATATACTATATGAAACAAGAGCGAACAGCTGATCTCTACGGAATAATATAAATAAATTAATATATGAATGTATACGCCCAGCTGACAATTGTTTACTAACATAAACACATATGCATACATACACATGTAGGTACTTCGCTATGAAAACTTTGGCATATAAAAAATTTGAAACATGTCTCACATGCATGCAAGAAAACACATACAACCATATTAATTCACATTGTTAGAATTTTGTTCTTTGTACTTATTTTCAAACAATTGTTTTATATTATTATATTAGGTCCTCAACGCTTGCCATTAAAATTTTCTGTTTTCCTTTGTGTACAACATATAGTATACAACATAGTATATTTTGTTTAGTATAAAATTAGTGTATATAAATACAAATTATTAGCTTTATGCGCAATTTGTGCGAACTTTGAGCTCTTATGACAAAAATTGTTCCCTTTTATATGTATCAACCCAAAAACAAGTTGATAGGGCCTAATTCGACGATATCGACATTGACTTGTACATTCACCTCTAGGCGTTTTAAAATGAATTAATTTTATTAAAATTTATTTAACACATCTCTTTTCAAAAGTTAACTAAATATAATAACTTTGTTCCACAAATATAAGCACACCCGCAAAATGATCACTCTATATCATATATTTACTAAATATTAAACTATTACTCCAAATAATTATAAATTACAAAGCTTTTTCTTCTTGAAGCGTAATTAAAATCGTATACTGAAATTGAGAAACGAAAGCAAAGACGAAAAACAATTTGCCATCCCATCTGTCACAGCCATTTAAAGATGCCACATATTCGAATAAAATATATATAATTATTTCTTTGCAAATGTTCAGGAGAGCGGCTTTTCCGAAAACATTCACCAATTGCACTGATCGTTTTCGAATTAACGATACTCTCGATATTCGAGTCTAAACGATAACTGAGTAAATTGAGAAATACATAATTGAAAATTTAATCATTCATTATTATTGCAGAAAATTTTCTCAGTTCTATCAACACTTCTTGTATCAATAGTGCCCAATTGAATTTCGAACAGTGGTGCCATGTTGCCGTTTATATCGTGCAAAATCATATCATATATTTTTTTTGTTTTTTATTACAAAAAATAAAAATAGGTCATGCGCCATAAATATTCGAAAAGTGGAATAATACACAAGAATTTTAAGACATTTACCGTAAAAATTGGTGTATGGAAAAGACGCTCTACTGAACATTTATTAACCACGCAAACATAGTAAAAATACTATGGCAACCGGCCATTTTGAACCTACCCCTTTATCAAACATGTAGTAGAGAACGTATTCATACAATTTACGTTCTCTGCCAATGATTTCAAGGTTTTCGTTAAACATATATTATTCTATGAAAGGTGATAGAAACTGTAGACGCTATTCAAATATAATACAATTTCCATTATTTGTGTAAATTAAATGCTAAGATATAAAAAGTAAAAGCAATATGATATTTATAGAATACAGCATATGCAATATATATTACTATATCTCGACGAGACTTGAATTTTTAGTTAAATTTGAAAAACGGGCTATACTTCTCAACCGTTTTCTATTACACTGCGTATAAATGCTGCGCGCATCACGAAATCAAATGCTAAACTTTGTTTGGGATAGCTGAGTTGTTATAGATAGGATCGTAGAGCAGGTAGAACAGGCAGGAGGGAAACACAAATAGCTTCATGTTGGGATAAAAGTCTAAACCTGGAAAAAACCGAAAAATTTTATAGTGAATGCGAAGAAAATAACATTGGCGAATGTGGTTGGGTGGGTTAAGGGGTGAAAACATGTATATACATAATAAACCCACAACTTCCACGCAAAGGCATTCGGCATGCACAATACATAAGCATACACACACATTGGAATACACACAACCTGGGAGCGAAGACATGCTGCAGATGCCGAGTCCCACTTGGCTTGGACATATATATAAGCCCCGGTGGGGCCTTAGGGGCGAATGACACATTTCCGGAAAGGTCTTCAAATTACCTAACCGGTGCAATTTATTTGACCCACCTAGGTCAAATACTTTAGCCGC